GTTAAATGAATAAAGTTTAAATAATTGGTAAATCCTATTCAATAAAATATTAATTTATAACAAATAAAGTGACATTATTGGAGCTGACAAATTACTACCTAAAGTTAAAAACAATATATTATAATCAAATAGATTGGGATATGATAATAATTAGATAAGTTAATCATTTGCTAAATAATATATTTTTCCCCAATAATAAACTAAAGCATGTTATTCAATAGAATAGGATAATTATTAAAATATATAAAAATGATTTTTTTTCCTCTCTATAAATTGGGTTGGATTAAGTCAGAAATATTTTTGGACATGCTCGTTCATGTAAATATTTTTTATTTTAAAAATATTTTTTTAAATAATAAATCTAATCCAATCTAATCTAAATTTTTTTGAGTTTGATGGGTTCGAGTTGTTTGAGACGTTCATTCAAAATTAAAAATAAAATTTTGTAACTCAATTTTAATACATTTTTTTATATAATTCAAAATTTGTTTTAAAGAATTATTGGAAAATAAATAATAAAAAGTAACTATAAAATTTAGTAAAAATAAGAAATAAATGAATATGGTATGTAAACAAAAATCAATATTTTAAAATTAACGGTTACTTCCGTTCAATACAATTGAGTTTTAGAGAAATTCACGAACCAATCAAATCTACAAAATCTTCGTTTATTTGAACCCTAAACCTAACCTAGTTCATAACCCACCAAACCATACAAGTTAGGTAAGATTGTTCAAATGTTTAGAATCCGATAAGATTAGGAAATAATATTGGAAATTGGAATAGGTAATTAAAAAATTGGTGGTTGAAGAATTAGAAGAATGAATAAATGAAAAGCAAAAGAGAAAAGAAAGGAAGAAGAAGCTTGAGGAAGAAGATGAAGAGTTTGTTTCCCTCTTACGCCCTTCAAATTCTGTTTCCCTCTTAAACTCATAGCCGTTGGGGAAACAAATTTATTTAAATTTTTATTAAGGAAACATTTCTTTTTATTTGGTTGCTTATTATTTAAGAAATTTAAAATATATTTTACTTATTTACTTATTTTTCTTTTCGACAATTTTTACTATAAATTATTAAAACCACCTTATAAATTATTATTCATAAACTACAATCCATTACTAACATTTTTTCTTGTTTTTTTAAATTAATTATTTTTTAAAAAATATTAAAGGATATAAGGGTGTTATGTTTTTTTTTTTTTTTTAAACTAAAAAAAGAAAATTATGTTATTTTTTTATAACCTAAAAAAAAAAATTGTCATGTTTTTTTTCTTTCCATATATAAAACGGTACTCCCTCTTTCACGATTCCCTTGGCACGTAGTTCATTATCATTTTGAAACGCCAAAAGTTAATTTAATCGCTGCATTGCATCTGCCATTCAAGAACCCTCGTTTGAGGAACGCAAAGCTTCAATCCTCGGGACCATGGATGCTTTGTTGAGCTCTCATCAATGTCAATGGCGGACGGAGGCTCTCCCTGTCTCCTACTTCATGTGTTTATCCACAAAGTAATCATGATTTAAATTCACCGCCCTCTTTCTTTCTTTCTTTCTTTATTTGTTGTTTGTTTTAACCGTTTGTACATACCCTTTTCATTATTGGGCATGGTTGATTTGTGATGAAACCTTTTGGATAGAGCTTTAAATCGACCCTTCAATTCTAAGAGTGGCCCTAAATCATTACGAACCCCATTTTCTTTGATTTGGTTTTCTGGGTGTTGGAATCTCCATCGGAATTTGTGTTTTGAGCTTAATTTGCAGAAGGGTTTGGATTAATAAGGCTTCTAGTGGGTGGATTCGAAGTGGGTTGCTTTGATTTTGTGCTATGGTTGTGATTGAAGAACGGAAATTGTAATGGATGAGAGTGTGGTTGAAAAGAGCCAAGGGATTGGCCACATTGTGCCTGAAAATGAGATGTTTAGCCATTTGGTTGAAGAACATGGACGTGAGAGTAGCTCGAGCTCTGATTTTCTTACATCGGAGACCACAGGGGGGCTTGAGGAGCACAGTCACAGTGGCTCGGAGGACTCATCGCCTCCTTCTTCATTGAGTTGGTCCACTCGAAAAGCTTACGGACCGGATTGTATTAGACCTAATGTTGGTGATAAAGAAGAAAAAAACTATGTTGATAATAGGAAGGTGGAGAAGAACGTATCTTCTTCGTCAGGTAATTTTGGCCCTCTTTTCTTTGTGGGGTTTCTCTATATAAACTGTTTTGATCTTTTAATGCTGTGTGGGGATTACAGAGGTTGAGATGTTGAAGGAAAGATTTTCTAAACTGCTGCTCGGAGAAGATATGTCAGGCTGCGGAAATGGGGTTTGTACGGCGTTGGCTATATCGAATGCCATTACAAATCTTTGTGGTATGCTTTGACTCATTGCCTAATATTCTATCTAGGATTGGCATTGGTAGACACTGATTCCCTTTGCCATTGTTTTGTTATAGCTACTCTGTTTGGGCAACTGTGGCGATTAGAACCTATTTCAGAAGAGAAGAAAGTGCGGTGGCGAAGGGAGATGGATTGGCTTCTTTGTGTTAGCGATCATATTGTCGAGTTCACGCCTACTTGGCAGACGTTTCCTGATGGAAGCACGCATGAGGTACTGAATTGTTTTCTAAGTATGAAGTTTGTGCCTGTTCGAATTGCCTGTTGCCTTCATAGCTTGTGAATACGTTCATATATAAATGCCAAGTAAATTTGTACAAACACAGACCAAAAGCGTCAACGATCAATTCTCTCTTTTGGGTTACGTTAGAGTTGGATTTTTTGTTGAATTTTCTGATTTTGTTGTAAGAACAGAGCTGCATCGAGAACGTGAAAACGGGAGAGTTTACATGTTTATGTATTTGTAAAGCATCAATTTTTTGATGGGGTTTTTTTTATGACCCTTCAGGTTATGACATGCAAACAACGCTCGGATCTTTACGTTAATCTTCCTGCTCTTCGGAAACTGGACAACATGCTTCTTGTATGATTCACCAATGTCCACTCGTCTCTGTGTTACAAACGTTTGAGATTTGTTCTGACTTTGGTAAAATAAACTTTGTGCAGGAAATATTAGATAGTTTTGAAGTTTGTGAGTTCTGGTATGTTGATCAAGGGATACACGGCCCTGAGACTGATGGGTCTTCCTCTTTCCATAGAGTGCTACAGCGTCAAGAAGATAAATGGTGGCTTCCCGTGCCTCGAGTTCCTCCGGGTGGTCTCCAGGAAGACTCAAGAAGGCAACTGCAACAAAAGCGCGACAGCACAAACCAGATATTAAAAGCTGCAATTGCAATTAACAGTGCTACTTTGGCTGATCTTGAAATTCCCGAACCGTATCTCGAAGCCTTACCGAAGGTACGAGATGCTTGAATTGTTACAATTCTGATATCTAAAGCAGTGTGTGATTTTCTAATCTTTTATTCCATTTGGTTTCTCAGAATGGAAGAGCCTGTTTGGGAGATCTCATATATCGATATATTTCATCAGATCAATTCTCTCCTCAATGTTTACTTGACTGCCTTGAAATGTCATCTGAACATCAAGCTACCGAGATCGCTAACCGGGTCGAGGCTTCTATCTACGTATGGCGAAAAAGAACGAGCTTGAAACCTGCTATGAACTCCATCAAACACAGTTCAAAATCGTCATGGGAAATGGTGAAGGAGCTGATGGTCGACTCGGAGAAAATGGAGCTGCTAGCAGAGAGAGCAGAAACTCTATTGCTTTGCCTGAAGCAACGGTTTCCTGGTCTTCCACAGACAACCTTAGATATGAACAAGATCCAGTACAATAAGGTCTGTCCCTACTGGAACCTTTTAACATTTCCACTGAGATTAACACATAGTAACTTGAGTAGGTAATGTCTGTTTTGATCGTTTAGGATGTCGGAAAATCCATCCTAGAGAGCTACTCTCGAGTTTTGGAGAGCCTAGCATTCAACGTCGTTGCACGTATCGATGATTTGCTTTATGTGGACGATCTCACAAAGCATTCCGATGAGCAGCTCTCGTCCATATCGAAACTTGGTGTGATTTCTCACAACAACAGCCCATTGCCTTTCTCAGTGCCCATCTCTGGCACTCCATATAAAACACCATTTGCCACTCCAAGCTTTTCACCTGCTCAAGCAGCGAGTCCTGCCAAAACTACCCAGCGCGGGTTCGGTATCAGAAAGGTTTTGATCGACTACCTTGGTATCGAAGCAAGAGGAGGAAAAGAAGCCAGCAATGATATAGAGAAACCTGAACCAGTTGCCTATGCAGAACTCGACAAGCAAACCGCTCAGCTCAGGGAAGGAGTAACGAGCTTCCCTTCACCCGAACAAGGATCGTTTGCATAAGAGTAAAAATCCAAGCTTGGTTTTCATGGCTGTATGTTTTCCAGTTGAATTTGTCAGTTTTGTGGATTTCTTTTTGTATGTATAGAATGTATATTTGGTCTTCAATTTGGTTGTATTTGTGTTGATGAGGAATCAAATGCTCCGCCTTCAAAGTAATACATACGTGCTTATTAATCACTGCACCATTAAAAGTCTTTTGGCAATCCTTTCTTAATTTGTTCTGATTGATTCTTTTGACGTAACAATGACGTTGTTGGTTCGGTTTGGTTGGGTTGGCACAATATTTATTCTACTTTCAAAATTATGAATGGTGTGGTCCAGAACACGAACAAGATTGAACAGAACCGAAAGTAACATCAAAAAAGAAAAAAAAAATGAAGATCAAACATTGCCAAGAATTGTGGCTGCAGAATCTCTGTCCCTATCCCATCAATCTTTTCAATTATTTCTTTTCCCAACGGCCAAACATAACGACCATGGAAAAGCAAGAGTCATAAACCTCCACAGAAAATGACTGGTTTTGGCATGCAACTCTGTCGACATATTCTTAACTTCAGGTAAGGATCCGAAAATGACACTTACAGTGTCATGCTCAGCGTTTGGGAGCTAAGCAAGTTGAGTTAGGATCAAATTGACATGAGAACAAGAGTATCTTAATCATTCTGAGATATACGTACGTTCCTACAATACATTTATGCTTAAAAACACCAAGGTTCAAACAAACCAGCAAACAAAAGCAGTAGCAGCAACAGCATTCTTTACAGTAAAATTTAGAAAGATGCTTATAACTATTCCATTAACTAAAAGAGATTCTGTTGTGTTCGACTGGAAAATGGATCAACCAGCTTTGTTGTTCACAACGATCTCGCTATCGTCTAGCTTCATAAAATAAGAGGTCGATCTATGATCCTATGTACCTGCAAGTTTAACAATCTAAAGTAAATGCACAACTCAATCTCGCATCTTATACAAGTCGATAATAAAGATATTAATCAAATCAAATTCAAATGAAGGTTCGATTGGAAACCGATATAAGTCTACTCCAAACTAAACATCACGAAAAACCACGAAACTCTGGAATTATAAGGCAAGCTTGTGGAGTTCGGTGATGATCAGAGTCTACAATTTTAAACTCTAAAGAAAGATACAAGTCAGGGAGACAAACGATCAATTATAGAACAATCAGCCAAAAGGTAAAAAAAAATCATCTTAGAACTAAAAGTACCTTAATAAGTATAAAACCTTGGCAAGTGATCTAGAATTAATAATAGAGAGACCCTGCAAATGACGATGATTTGCAAAAGAAAGTATGAGTATTTGAAACAAAGATAGTTTTCAATATTTTCTTTCTCATAAGCAGCACCTCTATTATTTCATACCTTGCCACCAATTTCCTCTTGAAGCACTTCCAGAATCGTCTTCTCCCCCGTCCTTCTTGAACTGAAAACATATCACCAGAATAAGTCAAGGCAGATCACTGGGGGGGCAAAACAATACTCAATTTCAATGTCTGTTCAGTCAGCTACATGTTACCATTGTTTGAGCAGGAGCAAGCAGTTCAAGGAAAAGAGTAGTACCATGTTTAGTGCTTTAAGATTATGAACTTATCAAAGAAAATGAAGTGATGAATATCAATTTGTTGAACTAACCGTCGAGTTCACCCCAGAATTGTGAGAATTCTGAGGATGAGCATAAACATCTTGGCCACCATAATAGATTGATGAGGTAAACTGACATGGTTGGGCTCTTTGATCCTGATAGATGGAACTCGAATCTTTATTCTTCGTCTCCCGACTCTCCTTTTGTCTTTGATTAGCAGTATCATCTGCAGAGATAAAAGTTATCAATAAGGAAGAATGAAGAGTATAATATCAAGCAATTTTCGAAACAAAGTTGGTGCGTAAGCAATCCAAAACTGGCTTAGAGTCACAGGATATTGGAAGTATCGATCCCTGGTTTGTTGATTGAATCCTAAAATTTCTCTTAAGAAGATTTCTCTAGCAACATATTTTCTTCAACACATGATCAAGAATGTTTTCTTTCTCAATATCTTAAAGCAATATGGCTAACTAAAAACACTTTTCTGAATTCTCAACCTGTTTGGCTACAATTCTAAAGAGAAAAGAAAAGTTGAAAGGATTATGAAACCTGTCAGTATGTTCTTGAACATGGCATAGGAAACATTTTTATACAATAGAGAAACTTCAAAATGATAATCCACTAATATTTTCAGTTGTTTTGTTTTTCTTTCTTTAAAAGAATCCTTATCTGAGGAAACAGAGAACCAGCTGAAGTTCAACAAATCAGTTTGAGCACCATACAAAATCAAGAGAGCTAGAATAACCAATTTTCAGGTGAGACGCTCAAAGTGAGGATAAAACAAGAACACCAATGCTCAATCTTCTTCTTGGAAAGATAATCAAATTACATGTATACACAAACCTTGATCATCAGCGTTGGGGATCCAAGGCTGATTTACAGAAGCCCTTTCAATCTCTTTGGTTCGAGAGAGCAGTGAGTCTCCCCCTAACACCTGAATAATTAACACAGATTAGAGATAAAATCACAAAAATCGAAAGCCATATGAAAAGAGAAAGATTAGAAGAAACAAGAAGAAGAAGAGTGAGAATCCATGGAGATCAGTGAGAGAAAAAGAAGGAAAGAAAGAAAAAAAACCTGAAAATCAATTATGAAAGTGAAATCGGACAGACAAAGAATAGAAGGATGAAACAAACCTTGGAAGAAGGGGAGAAAATAGAGCCAAAAATCCCAGAGGTAGAAGAAGAGGAAGTGTGTTTAGAGCCAAAGAGGTCAGTGGTGAGAGAAGAAGAGGAACGCACATGGTTGTTTCCGTCCATTTTGATCCAAAACAGTGAAAAACAGAGTAGGGCGTCGGGTGGTAGTGGATGAAGGAGCTTTAATGGCGGAAGAACAGAGGGAGCAGAGAAAGAGAGAGAGAAAGAGAAGAACACGTGAATGCTGGATGATGATGATGCAGAGTTGAAATGATGAAGAAACTGCCGCTTACCCACCAATTTATAACCCAGAAAAAAAGGCCGTCAGAAATCAATAAAATAATAATAATAATAAAATAAATAAATAAATAAAAAACCTCTTTCAAATTCTATTTCTTCTTCTTCTCTTCTTCTTCTTTTCAACCTGTCAAATGAATTGATTGGATCAATGACACGTGGACTCGCAGGTCCTCTTTGTGGGACACTCGCTGACTACCAATCATTTACTGCCACGCTTTATCCGAGATGGATAACGACAATTATTATTATTTTTTTTTTATTCTTAAAACCCATTTTTCACCTCTCTTTTTTCCGCCCTTTGTTTTAATAATAGTAGTTAGAATTTTGAAATGATAAATGTTTGTAGGCATTTGTCCAATGTTGGTCGTAAATGAGAAGAATTTAGAGTAGGAAGTAAAACCTACCTTCTTTAGGGTTGAAGATGGGTATTTTTATGACAACGTTTTAGGGGTTTTATGTTTTCTAAACAAACACGATTGAAACAGATACCCATGAGTTGGAAGAATGCATGACACATGACCTCTTTAGATGATAGAACCTAGCCACGACCTCTTTGGCTCCTGGGTGAGGTCACAAATGTACATTGAATTCGACTCAATTCCTCTCCTTCTCTTTGCTCTTGGTTTATGTTATTTGTACCTAGTCCTTTTCTATAGTTTGGTTTTGATTTTTGCCTTTTATTTTAGTTTTGCTTATGTAACAACCCAAGTTCACTTTTGGTACGCATTTTCTAATTTTTAAACACATCTATTAGGGAGAGGTTTTCAGTCTTATAAGGAATATTTTGTTCACTTCTTCAACAAAGGTGGGATCTCTCAATCCACCCCCTTAAGGGCCCAACATTCTCGTTGGCACACTGCCTAATGCTTAGCTCTAATACCATTTGTAACAGCTCAAGTCCTCCGCTAATAGATATTGTTCGCTTTGACATGATTTTAAAACGTGTCTACTAGAGAGAGGTTTCCACACTTTTATAAGAAATGTTTCGTTTCTTCTCAAACGGGTTTGGGATCTCGCAACTTATTATGGTAAATCAAACATATCCAACCCAATTTGAGAGTACAACCTTTTAATTTTACGTCTATTTAACCTTATTAAGACCATTTTCTTTTAGGCTCTCAAATGCCTTGGAAAATTTCAAATGCTTTAGAAACGTACCTTATAATCGTACAGAGTTGTTGTGAGTTGTTTGAAAGCTAAGTGCTCGATGATAGCTCTTGAATCATCCTTCGTATCGTTTGTCAAACATTGTAAGAATGATTCATCATTCTCTCTTATGGTGGTTTGTGATTTCTCAAGTAATATTTTTAGGTTATCCTTAAAATGACTCGATCATGCCTCACATTTGGGCAAAGTTATTGGCTTTTTTAAGCGTAAGTGCTTTAAGGTGGATCTAAATTTGTCCTTCCCGAGTGATTCTAGATTTTCATAGGATTTAAGAATCAGTTCTAGAAAGATGAATATCATTTTCTTCGAGATAAGTTATAGTCATGTAGCGTTTAAATTATATGACTGTATTACAATTTGGAGAAAAAGAAAAACGACCAAGTAGAGGAGAACCTGAATTGGGGGCATGCAAGATGCATACCTCTCGAGGTGAAAATCTAGTCTCAGTCTAAACCTCATGTGGAGTTGGAAGTGAGAGAATGCAGACACATACAAAATGATGAGACCTATCATTTAAAATCGTCTTCTCTTAGGCGATTTTCCAGTCTAGGCAAATTGGATATGTAGTACTTATATACACACAACCCACATGTGCGAGCGTGGGCCCACTAGATAAGTTCGCACGCCCCGTAGGCCTGCTAGTCTAGCTAGCACTCTCTGGGCTGTTGTCGAACACTCGGGGGGAATAACAACCATCGTAGCATCATGTTAAACATGATGGTCATTCAGTCTCATAGTGTCCATGTCCGTACTCATCATAAAGGGGAAGTATCTCGATGCACGTGAACATACAATTATGCGTGAGGTCTCCATATTTTCTACTATGGTGTAATAAATCATGCAAGACAACCCTCATTGTTTCATCACATATTACACTCGGTAATATGCATATATAAACTCTTATAAAATCATTTTATTCATAACGCAACTTTCAAATCATGGCATAAGCGTTATGCATCATAGATTTCCTTATTTCAAAACATATCATAGCATGTCATGACCTAACATAACATATCATAGTACATCATGACATTTCATTTATACCATAATATTATTTGGCATATCATATAGCGACATATAACATAATATCACATATCAAAGCATATCATACATATGACACGTGCAGGGCCACTGGACACATGTCACATACATAAAGTAATTCTCCCAACCAAACCGTGTTAGAATCGCACAACAACGCACACACTCGATCTAGATGAACACAAAGAACAGGAGAGAGAAAATGAAAGGACAATATTGACTAAAGAATTTGTATGGATGACTACAAGGTAGGTAAAGTGAGAGAAAATACAGAAAATACTATATTTTCAAAAAGATATATATATATATATATATATATATATATATATATATATATATATATATATATATATATATA